CACCCAAAACAAATTGCATTAAAATTATAAATTGGGTTTATTGTTTAGACTAACGTCCACCATTGGATTTAATCCAAGAGTAGTTGACCAAGATAGTCTGTGGTCCCTGTGGACCATGTGAACGGGACTGAAAGCCGAGCCAATTGGTGGTCAAGTACCATGCACTTCCTTAAATCAAATCAAGTTTATTTGTAATAACGTTTTTAATACTAACATATGAAGCTAATTAAAGTGATTTGTTTTTTGTCAATGAGGGTTGGTTGAGTCTATAAGGATTGTTCTCTTCACTATTAAGGCTTAAGTTCGAGTCTCGTTGCCGACAATCCCTCTTAGTGAAAACCAAAAAATAAGCTTAGGCCCCTTTAATAAGTCCTCAAAGAGACCCCTAAACTTTTTTCCCAAAAAAATAAAAGAAGGTGATTTTAGCATAACTTTTCTGAATGCTAATCAAACTTTTTTTTTAAACTAGAAGCTCAAAGGGATTGCTTTATTTATTTTTATTTTTATTTTAAAAAAAAAAAAACAAGAAGGGTAATTAGGTACAGTGACAAAATTTGAAAAGTATAGAAAGAGAATATGGAACAAAGTGGATTTTTTTGTTATTATTTGGCCGTCACAACCAATGGATCGAATGAAGACTCTTTGATATATTCGTAGGTATCTGAAACATAGGAGACTTTGTGTTATTGAAGGTTAAACTAATAGCATCATCACCAACCTTTAATTATGGTGTATTAGCTATGCTCAACAAATAATTATTGGATTTGGAAGAAGTAGTTCACCTTCACCATATAGGTTTTTTTTTTGTCCAAATTAAAAATTCATCCAATAAACCATTTTAAGTATTAATAATTAATAGCCAATGAGGTCTAACCTAGTGAAAATTGGTCTTGACTTGTAGATTAGTGGTCTCATATTCAAACTGCGTGTGAGAAAACTGGTCCCCTTCTAATTTAGACTAACATTTGTATTAAAAAAAAAAAAGTAATGACCAATAAGATAAAATTAAAGGGACTTAGGAGGGGCCAAGTAGTTTACCTATGATCAGCCAACCACTATTACCACAGTTGGTATGACATTAGAAAGACCAAACCCATAAACCTACTTAATTTAAAAAAGATTAAAGAAAAAAATAAATAAAATATACCCAAAAAAAAGGGGTCCCTAATAATGTTGGGTTACTACTGAGGTTGTGGAAGGCCAACAGAAAGGATTAAATATATACATCAGCTTAACAACTCTAGACTTTTGACTACATAATATGTTGTGTCACTAAATTAGGTCAATGCTAACTCCTTGAGGAGCAAAACCTACCTCTATAAAGATAAGAATTTTATATCTTGATTAGATTAATATAGAGATTAGTATAAGGAGAAGATATTAATTAAGCAGCTTTCACTGGTAAACTACTCTATGCTCATGATTGCTATGGCTTGTGTTGTGGTCAGTGGTCACTGTCATCAACAGCCAAATAGAAGAAACTTTCAATTAATAATAATCATTAGCAGTGCAGTATAACTAGGCCTCATCATAAAGGAATTTTGTCAGGCAGAAATAGGCACTGGAACCGTGAAAATGCTTAGTATGAAATTACACTTTAGCCACTGCAAAACATTAGTCGTTTTGTTTGGTACTTTATTATCAAAACCTTACCATGTAGATCTTAATGTTTGTACGTTGTTTCAATTTTGGTTTCGCTTATGAAGGGAATTAAGAAACTAATTGAATTTTTAGCAGACAAGGAGAGAGAGAGAGAGAGGCGCCCACAACGCAAAAGTGGGCCCATGTAGCTTATCTATTTGTTATTCTTAATTAACGTAATCCAAATTAAACAAAGCTTCCCAGGTTTTCCATTCATAGTTGTTATCGACGGCTTAAACAACTTCAAGTTTGGTCTGAACTCGTCACTCTGGTTAGCTACTCCTAAAACTACGATTTTGTTAGGGAGTTGCTCATCAACTTGGTGACAACAGCCCCATGACAGGGATTTGCTCATCAACTTGACTAGCTAAATTATATTCAATCTGAATTCGCAATCTGCCAACCGAACATGTTAGATATCATTTTTTCGTGTTTCTTATAATTCAGCACTCATATAAAACAATAGAACTTCATTTTTTTTTTTTTTTAAATTCAGAAATTTGTGGTGCCCCTGGGTGAGCTTCGCCTATCCGGTAATTACACCATGGTTCAGAGACTTGGAATTAAACCTGAAAAATCTTATGCAAATCCAGGCAGTTGTATGTTAATGTAGCACATTGTCAAATAAGAGTTTGATGTTACTGGATTGAAGAGAAAGACCAAGTTTACAAGAACTTGAACAACCAAAATTCCTCAAAGGCTTATAATGCAATGAACACTTATTTCCAACTCTTATTATAGAAACACAATAAAAAAAAATACACATCAGTTAGCTACAAGCACTCTATCTTCAACTCCTGTTATCCATGAACAAAATGTACAATACCCCCATTAGGGGTAGAGGTCTATGAGGTGAAAGACCCTAACTGCCACCATCTGGTTTTTCTTCAAGGAGGCTTATACTCGCATCGAGGCTAAACTCATCCAATCTTTTTAACTGTCGCATCATTTATGATCAAGATAACTTTAGCTTGATGTTACAGATTAATCCGAGGTATTTAGCAGTGCAGTATAACTAGGCCTCATCATAAAGGAATTTTGTCAGGCAGAAATAGGTACCGGAACCGTGAATCAAATGGAAGAATGCCACAGTTGCGCGAACCAAGCAGACTTTGTCGCCGCTGTGATATGCATTGTTCAACAAAGGCGGCTTGGTGGGGTGGAAGATAATGTGATATCCATACAGCCAAATTTGAATCATCCACAATGCCCTTGGCAAAGCAGTGCAGCATTTTTGGCACCAACAACCTCCCCTTGCTGCTAACCCCAACTGAAGCTCTAACAAAATCACGCTGTGCTTCCTGAAGCTCGTCCCTCACATTTTTAGCAGTGTAGATCCTTATCTGTGTTTATTTATTCCACGTCAAAACATGTAAAATACAGCTCAACTTCCAAATGGAAATAAAAATTAAACGATCCTTCAGGAGAAAGCAGAAGTGTAGATATTACCGCTGGTGAAGAATACATTCCACAGCTTAATGCAAAGGTTATGAGTGGTTCATACACATCAATTGCAGATTTCCGTTGCTCATCTGATACCTTCAGCTTGTGAAGGGCAAGAAGCAAAGCCTGATAATTTATCACTAGAATTGTCAGTCAGGGAATGAAGTATATTAAGGTAATAAATTCAAAGTTAGTTGGATGAGATTGTTAGGCAAGGTTCATACAATTTGTGGTCTATGGAGTGGTGGTTTCAACTTCAGAATCACGTACTCAATGGCAGCTGCGCTGAAAGAATGACCACCAACAGTGTAAGCTGCCTGTAAAAGTACAAAACCAATTAATGCAGTCTAAGCATGAAAGCCAGTAATTCTTTGTTGAGTAGTAGATTTGAAATAACAAACTTTTACATAATAGTTTCATTGACATCAAGAACTTGAGAAATGCAAAACTAATGAAAGAATAATTTAAGAAATCAGACCTTTTGCATCAAAGAGAAAAGCTTCAAGTCACTTCTAGGGACTCCATAAGCTAAGTAAGCCTGTTTACAGGAAGACATATTCAACTCCACAATTTTGCATGCATGCTTTGCATAGTTGACCAATGCAACATACACTACACGTGTGAGAAAATAAAGGAAACTTACATGCATAATTAGTGCATTGTACAAGTTAATCCAGAAAGCAAGCTTCTCATTGCAACTCAAATGGATAGGATTTACTTTCGCCAGTTGCTCGACCAGTACTCTGTTCTCACAATAATTATTCCGAACCAAAAAAACAAAGAAACAAGGAAATTATTTTCAGAACAGCTCTATATTCAAACAACAATTTAGCAATTCCCAGAAAAAGGTAAGCGTTAATAAAGTTCAAAAATTGTTTATACAGTTATACTTGTCTGACCTATCTACAATCAGAGGCTTAGATGCCTACATCAAGTGAGTTACAATGGAACCTTAATTGACACTGAAATTGACAGAATATTAACTGAAGCAAATGTAAGTAAGCTATTTAGGAATTATGAATCAACATCTTTATGACTTCATATCTACATATAAATTCTTTTGAGAATCATGTGGGATCTATCAATAACTTGGGGATTGCTTCAAATTAATACTTTACTCAACCTGGAAGGGGAAAAAAGCCAATAGCCAATATGAGCTAAAGGTAAAGCCTGCAAATGTCCTAGAACATTTTGATATAATGACCATTTGAAGTATATTTTATATTTTTCAGAATAGCAGTTTCTTGATAATTTCATATAGTTTGCCAAAGAGAGACAATACAAATTCAAAATAAGAGCTTAATAAAATTTTACCTGAAACTCCTCAGTGCTCCTGCAGCATATTCTAATTGCTTCTTCCCAACTGACATCCAAGAAACTTCACTTGCTAATCCATAGTTCCCAATGTCAGCCCAACTCTGTTTCCCTCGAACTCTGTAGGGATCACAGGCATTCTCTGAGGCCAATACTTCAGAGTTACTCTGTATATCAACCTGTGGGCTCTGCACCCATGATGAAATCATTGACCGTTCAGATGATGACCACCATGAGGAATTGGAAAGATGCCCGCGTGGTGACAATGAAGAGGAGTAGCTCTCTTGTGCAGAAGATTTTGATGGTATAGCTGAATCAGCCAAAGATATGAATATATTTTTCATGCATCTGACCATATCCTCTGACAGTTGATTTGGATGATCCCAGAGGCCCTTGGAGGGCATCCCTTTAGGAATCTTCCTGTACTCAGCAAGTTGAAAAGATTTGGGATCCATCTTCCTAGACATTTTCATATCATGGCAACTTGCAACCGAGTCCTCTGCATACTGATAATCACAATAAAATGTTATGCCATGGGTTTACCATTTAAGCTCTTCAAACATTAAATACTATCTGAACATTAAACACTAACAGATACCTCAGTTACTGACTGTCTAGAAGATGCTTGGCCACTAAGTTCTGATGGTTGATCTTTTGTCTCCTGGCATGAGCCATCTTCAGAGGAATGATGTATTTCAGGACTGGAATGATCTGAAGACCTCAAAGAAGATGAAATCTGGATAAAGTAAAATGGAAGTTCATTATGCTGCAAGCCATTTGGCAAAGACAAGATGTTATGGCAACACTTTACCACTCAAAAAAAAAAAAAAAACCTTATTCAGTTAAAACCTGAAATAATTAGCTGCTAATGGATGTTCAATCATCCAAAAAACAATCCTATAAGCTGCTCATGGGTTTTTTTTTTTTAATAATAAAACTCCCTGGTGCTCAAAAAGACTAGCATGTGAATGAGTTCACCTTTTAAAGCATCATTTCGGGAGTTGGAATAATTCCAAATTTTACTATTTGATATCATTTTATCATCTAAACTTGAATATAAAACTTTAGACTTGATTAAAACATAAATGTTACTTTGAAACTTAAGCAGCTGGTTTCAACTTAGAACTTTATCTGAATTGAAGTATCTTACAAACTTCGTGACATTAACTAAGGATATTTTCAATTCTAAGGAGGAAAAAATAATAAATCTTGCAAAGTAAACAAGATGATATCTGCAAAGCAAGTAGAAAGTATACGTTCATAAGCTCAAAGAATAATAGCAATGCCATCAACATCAGCAACATCCTTACTCTTTTTCTTTTAAGACATTGGACAATCTTGGAACTATTTAAGAAGAAATCGAAAGGTGTCCAAAACAAGGAGGGAAAGAATAAAAGCAGAAAATATACCGGTAGTTTCATAATGTCAGAGGAGTTAGGAGACGTTGTCTGAGGAGATGGATGCCTCAGACGATATTCTGCAAGCCTTCGTTCATTTCTTTCTTGACTAAGTTGGAAATGCAAAGCAACCAACTCCTGTTCAAGTTTTGAAACCGTAACCTCAAGTGCAGAAATATTGCCTAGGAGCTCTTGAGCCTGTGCAAGTGGGACAAAAGACTACATCACAATCTAAAATCCCAATTTGAAACCTGGCCAATGGTTAAAATGGGAATAGGGATGGGATATCGAAAAGAGGAGTTAAGGAAATCATTCAAGCTCAGAAGAAAACAAACACATAGGTTTCCCCATTTCATGTAACTCTAGCTCTAAGAAAAAGTTAACCATAAAAGTGACGGGTTATACTCTATCAAACAGTTGGTGTAGATCCCACATCATTCACAAACCATGCCCTAGAATGGTATATGAGTTTGATGTTGCCTCTTCCCAGTAGCCTATGCTTTCAGGACTGGCCTGGGAGCATTAAAGTTGGTATCAAAGCCATTACTAGGCTGCATCAATTTGCACGGAGTGGAACATTAACCAACCAACAAGGTTCTGTTGTTCTGTACAGAAGGGCCCAACATAGTGTGGCAAACATAGAATCCAACTAAGTCCTAGTTTAGTACATGAGTTTGATGTTGCCTCTTCCCAATTATTTGGGCTTCTGTGAGAGGCTTGGATACGTTACATTTGGAAACATTTTAGGTTCTTTCATGTCATCATTCCACAGTTGATTTATTATAGTTAGCTTTCATTTAACTTCTATAGCAATGGAGTATATAGCATGCCTCATAAAGCAGTTAAATTTTATGAAGGGATTCCTGGGCTAACTAGTGATCAACCCAACCAATAAATAGTTTAGAATAAGCAATTACACAGAATTACCCTTCCCACTCTACCGAAATGCAACAACAAAGGGGAAAGACAGGAAATACTAGTGACAAGATCAAAGAGCTTGAACAATAGATATATCCTCTACAAAGAAATGTAGCATATAGAAGTAATGTAGTGTGCGTTAAAGAAATGTAGAGCTTCAACAATACATCCTCAAAATTTCCCTCCCCATGTCAATATTATGTAGAAGAAATGTAGTTGGCATTAAATTACCCTGAACTCCATGGTTGAAATGTCACATAGAAGGTTAGTTTTAGGACTTTCACAAGAAAGTTCAGCTGATGATTTATGAAAAGGTGAAGTTAAATAAAGAAAATAAAAATAAACAAACAGGACAAAATGGAAAACATACATAGTAAGGAAGGCCTGACCAACTGGAGCATTTAATAGCATTTTGTTCAATTGCATTTTCCAGAATAGCATGTAGCTCTAGTTCTTCTCGCAGCTGCTGTTGCAACCTTTGTACCTATAACAGAAGCAATTACCTTGGTGAATTGTAGTTTGTGACTAATTACCTTGGTGAATTGTAGTTTGTGACTATGAAAAGAAGGATGTCCTTTTAAAAGGTTAAATATTGGCTCTTTGACATTATGGAAGATATTTAAACAATTAGATGGGCCCTAGCTGCAACATTCCTATCCAGAAATCATATTCATATTTTTTAATTCCTATCTGCAAAATTCTGTCATGATATCATCAGTGTAATCCATCAATTCAACAATTAGATACACCGAATTCAAACTTTCGGGCATCTTCTAAGTCCAAATTTGGCATGACACTGCAGAGGACCTTCACAAGTTACCAACAATTCTCAGTGGCTTGACACTTGGGGAGATCCACTTTCTATGGAAATTCTTTTAGCATGCCATTAGAACTATGACATTACCTATAGGTTAACCTAAACTAGGAATTTAGCAACAGTTGAAGAAATGTTATCTGCTGCAGTAAAACAGAAATCCCTGGAGATGGAAACAGACATAGAGAACAAGCCTACTAAAATCCAGGTCCATATGGATAATTATGCATCCAGGACACAATCGGAAATTTTATACATTCTCTCACTGGTTGATAATGTTATACATCTATCTCCTAAGTCACAAGTCTTATTGAAAGTCAAAAGCAATATTTCGATACCTACTCTGCTCCCAACACTTTTGCATTGAACCCCATAGAAGATGCATAAAGAATAGTGGTACAGAGACACAATTAGTTGTTTTTTGCTTCTTGGTACGAAGAAAACTTACATCCTGTTCAAGCTGAAATCTGTAAGGGTAAGTATCAATGTCTTTAGTGCACGATCCAAATCTTCCAATACCTTCAACAGGATTGCTCACCTAAAGATAAAAACAAGCAGTGCAATATTTGAAGCAATTGACTTCAACCATGGAGCCCAAAAGGAAAAGGAGGAGAAAGTGAAGACAAAAGAAAACTATCTAAATAGCATAAATTCAACTAAATATAATTTCCAAAAAGGTCTCAATTTGCTGAAACACAAATCAAGTTTACCCGCATGGAAGATGAGTCCACCAGTTCTTACCCGTGAAATTGTGTTATCACTCTGAAGTTCTTTCACAGAATCTGACTGAATTTCCGAATTACATGTGATGCTAGAATGCGAATATTTGCAAAGAGAAACACTTCTGGAAAATGCAACCAAAGAAAAAATAAGAAAGCATTATTAAAGAAATAGCTTAGAGATCCACTCCATATATGGAAAAAAAAAAAACAAAAACAAAAGGTAGAGTAACTACAAAGAACAAGAATGAAAACGTACTGGTTCAAGCCAGTTTGCACAAATGGTGAGTCACACATCCTGCGATCATAGACTTTGGCGTTTATCACATAAAGCTCATACTGCAATCACCCAAAACAGCTTGGCTTCTGGTACTAGAAGCTATATGCACGTACATACAAACAAGCATCCCCAATCCTGCAAATCCACTTCAAATGTAAAACATCTGGCTCTTTTGCATTTTCAAAAATGAGGAATTTCAAGACTGTTTTCTGGTAGAGTATCTCAGTGTAGCTTGGAGGCATGCCTAAGTGAGATGTATAATTTTTTTTTTTAAAAAGCACTGTACACCTGTGAGCCATATAAGGACAAACAAACTCATGAATGCACAGCTACCAGTCATTTTCAACACAACCACACAAATATTATCAGGACAGATTTATTAGCCCAAATTTCGGTTCGAATTAAGACAGAACCAACCAAAACCCCGAAAGACTATGAAAAAATGGGAAAATTTGGCAAACAACCTTCTGCACTTCCATCATACAGCAATCAATTACAATTTACATTTCATGAAATTCAGAGCTGCTAAAAAAGCAGTCATTTACAGAGATCATGAGAATATGATATCTCCGACAAGAAACAGCCAGAATGATTAGATTAGAGTAAAGGGGCAGTTGATAGGACACGAAATGCAAAATAAAAAAAATGCTAAAGAACAGAAGTGGGGCACTCACTAACCCTTGTGCAAGTCAAAAGTCGCTTCCATTGTGAGTTAATAAGACGGCAATCTCAAACCTACCCTCTGAAAGTTTTCTAAAGTTCATTTGGAGAGAGGAAGTGGTTGCTTTTTGCCCCATTTCTTTCCTTTCTATGGAATTAAAGAAAAAAAATTCTTTTTGATTGATGCCCATGCCCATGCCCCATTTCTTTCCTTAAAAAAAATTCTTTTTCATTTCACACATATCATAATCAGACGGAGAAGGGTACTGGTTGTATCACTGTGTATTCAAAAGTGCGAGTCAAAAAAGGCAAAGGGGTTTGCTTTGCAAAAGCTTCCAAACTATAGGATATGATGAACTAAATTACTCAAAACAAAGAAGCAGCAGAAGATACAATTCCAGAGGACGGATCTCAGTGGTCCCTGTTGCCCAAAAGACCTCTCCTTTCATTTTTGACACTGATCACAATCTGACCCATGAAAAATTAAAAGATCCCTCTTTTTCTGAATGTTCAACAAGACAACAAGTAAAACAAAACAGGACCTTGCAGGACCGTTTTTCAGCTGCTAACCTCTCTTTGATTCAATTGGGTTTTGAAGAAAGCTAGCCAGCTATATATTTTTCAGGGGAAAATGAAAAAAAAAAAATTGGCTCCAGAAATGAAAAGGGGTTGTTACTTGTTAGCTCAAAAATAAGTAAAAAAGCAGAAAAAGAGCATACATATAGCCTAGAGGAAGATTCACCAACTAGCAAAAGATCCTCTGCTTCTTGAGAGAAATGCACAAAGACCCTGAATCTGAAAAGACCCCAACTTCAATTCAAAAGCTTCTCACTCGGGATCCCTCTCTAAAACGCCGATGAGGTAGAATGCCACAGTGTTGCATCAACCATATTCTCCCTCCAGAAATTCAAATCTTGTACACCTCAAAAGTGACAAAGATGCGGCTAAGCAGCTAAGACTTTGATTATAAGAAGGATTTCGTGTAAACAAAGAAACAAAAAGTTTGGAGAATATGGAACTACCTCCAAACAGCTAAACACTAAAATAGTACCTGCCCTTTGACTAACAGTGACAACATATCCAATAAAATATATAGGATAATGGGCTTCTTGTTTCTTGTTTGCTCTTGTTTTTCTGTCTGTTTATGCACAGAGCCTAGTGCAGCCAAAGAGAGATACCTGGGTTCAAATTTGGTCATGGAAAAAATGGTTTTGCATAGAGAGAGAAACACACACACACACAAATAATTAGATACTTTCAGAATAGTGTTTGAAATTTGAAATTAGGAGAAGGAAAAAAACAATCCATTTGCCAGAAAACCATGCTGTTTATGTTACATGGGTATTTGAGCTCTTGAGTGAAATTTCACTCTCCATCTCCATCTGGTCTAGAGATGCGTGAAGTAAAGCATTTATTTGATACTTCATTACCGTAACAGACGTACAGTTAACACAGCACGAGGAATATAATATAAGGCATGGGCATATTGGGTAATTTAAATGTTCCCGTTTTAAAGCTTTTGTGTTTGACTTGGGGATATTCTGGTTTAACTTAGAATCTACAATCATGCTTCCTATTTTTTAGTTAAAATTTAGTTAAAAACACATAAAAGTTATTTTAAGAGCTCTTTATAAAATTTGAACTTCAATTATACTATATAGTTTAGGGAGTCATAAATACTATAGTTATTTTTTAATTCAATATGATTCGTACATCTTTATAAAAAAATAATATATAAAAAAAGTTAACATTAATTAAAAATTTAAACTACGCATAATACAAACCAACATTAAATTATAGGGAGTCACGATGAGTCTTTTCTCTCTCCTCATATTTAAGGTCATGTTTGGTTCATGAGAAATGAGACTTGAGGATGAGAAATCAATTGTTTTCCCATGTTTGGTAAGCCCAGACGTGGAAAATCGTTACTTGGCCCATGGGAAAATAGTGGGAAAAGTGAAGTCATTCTCCCAACTTGGGTTTTATTTTCCCTCCTCATGGAAAAGTTTGGGAAAATGAGCCAATATTAAATAAACATTTTTCATGACCATTTTGTCCCCATTAACAATTTAAAATTACAATATATCATTAAATGCATTCTTTTTTATTTGGTTTAATATGGGTATAATTGAATATTTATACAAACTTCATTTTCCATTCATACTCAAAATAAACATTGGAAAGGAATAAAGTGATATCTCCCGGTTACTTTCCCAGCATTACTTAACGTGGGAAATGAATATTCCATTTCTCATATCTTGGGAAATGACATGAAAAATAATTTCCCCTCAAATTCATTCAGTGAACCAAACAGGGCCTAGGAGCTCCTAGAAGTCTTTTAGAAGGTGGATATAGAACATAGTTGGAATTGTATTTTTCCAGTTCCTCCCTAAAATTTGTCTAAGGAGATAGTTTAGGGAGTTCATTGTGGATGCTCTTATTTACCAAAATAGATAAATTGACTTAAACAGTTATTTTTTTTTAACACAAATGACATTAAGAGAGGGGAAATCAAATCTAGGACATCGGGTGTATGGATAAATGTTCTTAACAACTTGAGTTCAAAACCCTTGTCATCTTCTTGGGTTGTTTAGTTATTTATTTATTTATATAAAAAATAATATTCTACTTTAATCTAATATAAATTACGGGAAGGGGGTTCCGAACTCGGATGCAGAGTGGGAAATACAATCGTTCTAGTCAACTTGGCTAAACTTATATATGCTTTTTTTGTTTAATTTTAATTTTGTGTGAGTTGAGTTTTGTTTAATGAAGATTTTTTTATCAGTTTTAATTTCTAGAAATTCTTAGAAATAAAATTGAACACTTTAAAGTTTGGAAATTAGGGGTTCAAGGCAACAACGATAGTTTTGAGTGTCCGTCTATATCTTCAAGGCAATCATTGGTCTGCAACTGAATGGCCCATGGACACTATTTTTATTTTTATTTCCTGAAAATCACTGCATGACGCCCAGAGAGAGGCGTAAGACCAAACAACCTAGGCCCGTTGAGCCTTTAGTCACTGCTCCATTAAATTTCTGATTAAAGCACATAGCTAGAGCTGCCCCAAAAAAAAAGCATATAGCTAGAATCTTAAAAAAGAAGTAGGATTGGAATATTATCTGCAAGAAAGAACAAATTATAGAATCTTTTACTGACCTATCGCCAATCTATGTCATTTTGAGGACTTAATCTTAAGAAGTTATAGATTTCCGTTCTAGTTGTTAATGCAACTGCTAGCTCCTTCTCTTCCAAATACTTTTCAGACTCCGGACATATGCCTCTCGTGCAATATGTACATTGTTGGTTCTACATACGCTTAAGTGGTGGAGCGTGAAATTATAATTTGTTCTTATCAATTCATATGTGGCATCATTTTTTATGAATTTTCTTACATGTCTATATTACGCATTCAACACATTTGTTAGAATAAACATGTGAGTGATTAGTTTAAGCTTGTGAATCGGTTGTTGAAGTTAAAACTACGCATTTTTCTCTAATGGAAGAAGGGTCAAATTCTAATTCGCCCTTCAAAATCGGAAGAAAAATAAATAAACAAAAGAAAAGCTTCTTTTAAGGGAAAGAAGGCTTTCTCACCAACACAGCCAGCATGGTACAAAGTAATGCTACCATGGCAACACAGACACTGCTTTACATCGTCAATGCCACCATTTCCTTGGCGAACTCCCAATAAACTTTTGTTAGACCAGAACTTATTTAAGTTGGTAAGAAACAATTTACAGATTGAGTTGCTGAAATAAATCACATGATATGTCATACCAACATACACACTAAAGGAGAGAAAACATAAACATAAAAGATGTTCTCGCTTTTTCCACCCAAAGCAAAAGAAAAACAAAAAACAAAAGATGTTCTGGTTTTGATCCTGTCCAAAATTTACTCATCTTTTTCAGAATCTTACATGGACTCTGTCTTTGCTCTGGGAAGTCCTTCCTCATTGATAGCTCCTCGAGTATAGTCCAAGTTCATCCATGAAACTGAAGTTTGAGGCTCAATATCTGGTGCTTCATCAATGATCCAATCATCCATTGGATCAATTTCCTCAGCCACAATGCCAGTCTTCATGCCTGAGCAAAACTGCTGCAGGTGCAAATTATAGTGAACAAATGCAAGATCTTTCAGCCGTTGTTGCTCGATAGGATTCCTTCCATTTGTAACCAGCTTCTCAGCCAGAGTCCTTTTGAGCCCATATTTTGAAGCGCCATCACAGTTTTGGCTCAGAATTCGAATGGCAAACCGCTGCAGTTCAGGAAATTGATGTCCATAACAAGACCACCATATAGCTGCAGTCAATTTAACATAACAACTTAGTTTCAAATCTTGGTTTTTGACTGACCTCAAAACTACCGGCTTAATGCCTAATTGTAACAGAATAAGAAAACATACAACAGAACTTCTCTTATTCATTTGTTTATATTGATATCTTCTTTTACCTGGAGGAATGTTTCTTCCTCGATTTCTGTCTCTTCCCTCTTGAAAACTCCCTTTAGCAAGTCTATACTTACTGAATTGACGTGATATTAAGACTTGAGTTTGATAATGCTGCACCATTTGTACAAGAGAGTACAGAAGGGCAAATGCAACCTCAGGATCACCATTGAAATCCCTTGTATAGAAGAGACTTGGATTAAGATAATAAGCAGCCCCATGGAGAGGACTGTGGAGATGATTGTCCCAAATCTCATCAATAACTACCCAGAAAGGCATGTATTTGGATTTTTCGTTTTTAAATTCTTCTTGAATGGTCTCCTTCACTTGATCCATGGTTTCATATATGTACCCCACAAGTGGCTTGTCAGCCTTAAAGATCAGATCAAGAATGCGGATGAGTGGCATAGCTGCTTTCAAGACCATCCAAGCTCCAGTCCAGAAAGAGTGATCCTCCACCAAATCTGCAACCCTCTTGCCCTCTGCTCTTGAGGCCCAGGGTGACATGTTCCACTCAGACGAGGAGAACATGTCTTTCAGATTCTGCTTTTCTGATAAAATATTATTTAAAGTCATAACCGGCATTGCTGACCTTATCTTGGAGGGCTGAATTAGGTCCCTACCAAGTGTATGTTTCTTCAAAAGCTTCAAAACTGTTGCATGTCCATGAATGAACTTTGTAATAACCTTGGCCTTATCTAATATCCTTTTAACAGAGCCCATCATCCCAATCTTCTCTAATATCAGCTCAATGCAGTGAGATGCACTCACTCCCCAAAATACACCTTTGAACCTATTGTTGAAGTCCTCCTCCCCAATACCAGCCCAGCCTGTCGTAGAATCTGCCACTACCTGGACCACATTTTCTACCCCCACATCCTTCATAATTTCCGCCAAAAGTGAATATATGGCATCAATATCGAAGGATGAAATATCATGGGTGCAAAGATAAATTGCGCCTTCAGGGCAATTCACCAAAAAGTTAACAAGCTTTCGTCCCTTTTCATCAATCCAACTGTCCAACAAGATGCTGCACCCAGTGGTAGCCCATGATTTTCTTATCTTTGTCACATATTCTGTAACCTCCTTTACTTCATCCTCAAGTATCCAACCTCTGAGCTCTTCATAGCTGGGGATCTTGAACTCCCCCAGACCAGGACCAAGGGTAGAATGTATCATGTTTTTGAAGCTAGGTGAATTTGCAGCAGCAAATTCTAATCCTGTTTCATATAAGAATCTCCCGATGCACTTCTTGGCTTTCCTTGATGCTGTATCATCTATTGTTTCCTCATTGCCACCTCGTTTTGAGCCTCTACTTCCATTGGAAACAAAGACATTTCCTGTTTCACCATCTTCCAACGAAAATTCCATCTCTTCTTTTTCTTGGCTTCCATTCTGAGAGCCAGAAGTCTGAGAAGTTTGAGGCTTATTATGCTTAATGCCATTCGAGCTAGGACTGCTATTCGTCCTCCGGGGAAGATCAGGGAAATGCAGCTCCATATGTTCCATGCCAAATGTTTCTCCTTTTCTCTCCATCAACCGGTTTCTCATCAGCTCCCTCACATCAGCTGGAGCACTTGGACATGGCACTACATCTCCCCGGATTCCTCCTACATGGCACTTCAAACGGTATGAACCACTCACCACCTTACCGCAGTAGTTGCACGCCACTCTACCCTTTTTTCTATCAACAACTGTACAATGCTCATAAACGTTGATGGCTTCACTACCGCTACCATCCATTTTTCCTTTCAAATAAAACCCCCCAATTTCACCTCAAGATCTTTATGTCCAATGTGTACATCTAGTGTTTCAGCAAGCTAGGCCTGCAAATTCACCTCAAACTGTACTAAATCATACAATCAGTATGTATACATCATAAACACAATGCATGTAACTGATATGAGTTTGTGATCACAAAGCAAATAATTAGACTAACAAAAAAAAAAGGGATTCAAACAGAAAAATTATTCCTTTTGCCCACCACTTAGCCACCACAAGAAGAGGAAAGAAAAATAAAACCCCCATCTTTTTCTGGCTCATAAGGAAAAAAAGAACCATCTTTTGGGCCTTCTCTGTTATTTATTTTCTCATTCTCTCACAGAGAACCAAAACACTAAGAACTGGAACCAAAAATAATTTTGTTATGTAGAATGCCAGTACATGGTATCATGGTAAGCAATAAGCATCAACAAAAATGGCACTCAACAGTCACACATACATGCACACACAAACAAATAAATTTTGAAAAAAAAATAACAAAAACAAAAAGAAGAACAGAGGAAGAGAGCCAAGAGACATTGGTATACATACCTTGACAAAGTGAAGAGTGAAGATGGAGCTGCCATGGCTGTGATCAGGAAGAGAGATTAGATAAGAGAGCAAAAGGGTAGAAGAAAGCCAGAGTCTTGATCAGGTGTGGCTTAGCTTGCAGGGGCAGTTATGAAGAAGAGTCAAGAAGTTCAAAAGGTGACTTGGCTGGTGCACAGTCTATGACACGCGCTCTCTGTATCAGTCGCCTCGTCGTCTCTCCTCTCTCTCATGCATTTTTTCGCCCAGTAGTGTTTGTGATTTCTCAGACCCACGCGCAGATGTGACACAACGCTCCACCCAAAATTGAATTGGTTCTTTTTTGGGTCTCAAGAAATTTGAATTGGTTTGAGAGCATTGCTTTGTACAATTTTTTCTTGTGCTTTGAATTTGTAATTAGCAATATGGATTTTTTTTTTTAAATTAGGAGTTTATCAAGCAAACCAAATTGTAGCCTATTTAGTTTGTCCTCTTCATTAGAGAAAATGAGAAGGATGATACTCGAATTCTTATTGTAAGTGGTGTGGAGTTAGTGTTTATATTAATTGAACTCTAGAATTTTTCTTACTTTTCTTTTGATTAGTTTTTCCTTCTTTCATTACAATGCATAAAATTTCCATGTATTCTACATTATTTAATTAGATTTTCATTGTTTGATGTTAAGTATATCAAAGTTAGTGTGCATATTAGATGCATGTAATACGCGTGAAATTTGGTGTTAGATGATGAATCTCACATATTAGTAAGTTAGACGCATGTAAGACACGTAAACCCAATATGTTTAGTAGTCAGTTAAACACATATATTGTATACGTTAGGCGCATGTAATACACGTGGAATCTACTGTCAGATAATGGATCTGATGATACTAGATGTGTTATGTTAGCATGTGATATATCATTGTTAATGTGTACGTTAAGTGCATGTAATACACGTGGAATGTATCCAGCCAAACAACAATAAATTATTACTTTAGACTTCAGATTTTGATGCTGAGCTCTAACTCTTTTTAATATGATTTTCTTTTAATTAATGTGCACCCTAAATCTTAGTTAACAAAAAAGGAATTGAATTCAATTTTGGAAACCCTCCTCAATACAAGAAGTGTATTGCCACCAACGTGAAACACGAGCCCTTCCACAAGTCTCCCTGCTCCGTCTCCTCAATTTGTATCCCTAAACGTTCCTTCTTGAATAACCAGATATTCATCCCAAAATTGTTTTTCCAATTCTTCCATCGATCGCTCCACGTCGTAAGCTTTTTGCCTAAGCAAATAAAGGGTTACATGAGCTAGAATGCCCAAAACCCTAGCAAACACTCAGAAAACCCTAACCCTTCACTCCTTGCGAGAGACGTGTTCTTACTTTCATTACAATGTTTAACATTTCATTATAATGTACAAAATTTCCATGTATTCTACATTATTTAATTAGATTTTCATTGTTTGATGTTAAAAGCATCTACAATAGGCTCCCTAAACCACATTCTTAGAAAAAAAAATTTAGGGAGGAATTGGAAAAATACAACTCTAACCATACTCCCGACCCACCTCATAAAATAAGGAGACCTCTAGAAGCTCATAAACTTGAGGACAGAGAAACAACTCTTAGAGATGGACCAATCATATTAAATTAAAAAATATTTATAGTATTTATGACTCCCTAAACTAGGGAGTATGATTGTAGTTCAAATTTGATAGATAGTTCCTACAATAACTGTTGTTCAAATTTGATAGATAGTTCCTACAATAACTTTTGTGTGTTTTTAGTTAAATTTTAACTACAAAGTAGGGAGCATGATTGTAGATGCTCTAAGTATACCAAAGTTAGTGTGCACATTAAATGCATGTAATACGCGTGAAATTTGGTATAAGATGATGAATCTCACATATTAGTGTCAAGTATACCACAATTATTATGTAAGGTGTAGCATGTAAGACACGTAAGTCCAATATGTGTTTTGTGTTTAGTAATCAGTTAAACACATGTATTATATACGTTAGGTGAATGTAATATGCATGGAATCTAATGTCAGATAATGGATCCGATGATACTAGATATGTTAAATTAACATGCGACATCATTGTTACTATATACAAGGGTGGCCCTGGCATGGTGCAAGTGGCGCCACTACACAAGGCCCTAGATTTTTTAGGGCACCAAATTTTTTTTTTACTTTATATTATATATATTAATATTATAAAAACTTTATATATACTCAAAGCATGCAACACATTGACACAAAAACGTATTTTTGGTGGAGATAGTTTCTAGTGCATATCCCTTAGTACAAGACCCATGTTTTAGTCATATATCACATCCATATGATTTCTCCTAAAAAAAAGTGTTTTTTTCCACTCAAAACAAAATGCATGCCTTCTTCTTTCTCTTGAACTTTTATTTTTTTACCAAACATTTACGAATTTATCAAATGAAAATATTAAAAAATTTATGAATTTGATTTGTGATTGCTATTACATGCTAATTGATGATGAATTTTAGTTATAAAAAAAAAAATTGTTTTATGACATTAAGTAATGGCAATTTTTTTTTAGTATTTTCATATTAGATTATGTGAGGGCTACAGTTAAAGTTTCACACAAGGCTCTCAAAATCCCAGGACCAACCATGACTGTATAAGTTAAATGCATGTAATACGCATGGAATGTATCCAGCCAAACAACAATAAATTATGACTTTCGACTTCAGATTTGATGCTGAGCTCTAACTCTTACCACATTTGTATACTACATCTTTATACCATCTTATGTGGCAGTTGAGGTGGACAGACACATTAATTAAAATTATTTAATATTTTCTTTTCTTTTATGATTTATTCCAGTATTTATTTTTCTAATTGCCTTAATTAAAATACACTTCATTGATTTAATTGATGTAGCATATAATATGGACATGCCACATTATGTGGTATAGAAATGTGGGATACAAATGTGATAAGTGTTGCATTACTCTTTTCACTGATATGCACCCTAACTATGCGGTTAACAAAAGGGAAATTCTATATGAACCCCATTAATTGCTCTTTACACCCCATAATTTTTTACACCCCACTAAAATTTAATAAAATTTCAAATTACTCATTAATCCCTTTTTTTTTTCCTAAATTGCCCTCATGAACCCCATTCCCTAACTCATTGTGTAAACCCCATCCCATATCAGACACCACCCACTGAAAACCCCCTTCCCTTTCAACACACCCCATCTGAAATCAAACCCCACCCCATCTGATATCAAGCCCCACCCCATCGAAAATTCCCTCCTCTTGCAGACACACGTTGTCGCAGAATCCATCACTTTGCAAAGACCCATCGCACAACCCAGCAAACCTGTCATCCCACAACTCAGCAAACCCGAACCCATCTCTGTAAACCACCGAACCCCATTGCACCATCGCACAACCCATCTTCATCTCTGCAAACCCGAACCCATCTCTGTCAAGTTTTCACAAATCATTCGAAGAGCCAAGGTTTGATTTCAAAATTGATTTCTATATTTACGTTTTTAAGTGTTGATTAAGCCTACGTTTGATTTTACTTTTGAAAAGCCAAAGTCTGATTTTGATTTCAACGTTGTGTATAGTTTGAACCTGGTTTGCAGAAACTGGATTCTAGTTTCAGTGGATTACCACCGAAATGGTTACATTCATTCAATGGTAGTCCACCGAATTTGAACCTGAGTTGTACGAAAATTTATTTTACTTTCGGTGGGTTACCACCAAAATTGTTACCTTGTTTCGATAGTTGTCCACCGAATCTGTTTCTATTTTTCAGGAGACTCCCACCGAATTTATTTCGGTTTTTCAGTGGTACTCTACCGAATATGTGTTCTTTTTTCAGTGATAGTCCACGGAATTTATTTCCTTTTTTCAGTGATTATCTACCGAATACGTTATTGAGTGTGTACTTAATATTGTTTGTTTTTAGATATGAAGAGGACTCGCAGAGGTACTACTGAGGCTTCATCATCCCGACCTAATAAACAGCGTCCCACGGCCTCAACGAGGAGGCAGAGAGCGGCTCCTCAAGATCATTTTGAGAATACTACAGAGGTTGAAGATGTAGTTCCTACTCATGATAGTAATGTTGACGCAGAGGTTGAAGATATAGTTGCTACTCAGGATAGTAATATTAAGGTACATGTCGAGCCTACTGAGCCATCTCGAGTAGGTCTCATTGATCCATCTTTACTTACGAATTTTAAAACTCACATAGCAGCTGCAATTTTGAATAACCAGGTAAGTCGTTTTACTGTGACAATAAAAGGTAGAATATAAGTCTGGTTCACGAGCCCATCGAAGTAATGCATCTCTACCATTGAACATCTACAAATAAAACTCATATTATTTAAATATAAAATTTGAAACATTAATGCCACGTTAATGATACTAAAAAGGATTTCAGACAAATAATTACCGAATAAGTTGTGAATTGATCACTATAGTCCATTACACATTCTGTTCCCACATTGTTGCCTTCAGTAGGGGCGTCATCTTGTTTTTGTTCCTTCAATGGGAGTAAGATCAAAATAGGTTGGATTAAATTTGTGGTCGATAATAAGTTACTGAAAAAATAAATAAATTTCGATTGGATGCCACTGAAACACGGGTAAAATTTCAGTAGTAAACCACTGAACTACGTTCCATCTTACGATGGATCTCCACCAAATATTAAGTTTCTGACCGGTCAAACTCAACCGAAAACGGTGCAACGTTTCGGTGGCATCCCACCGAATTTACCTGTCGCAGTCGGTACTGATGTGCTGAACGCAACCAGCGACCGTTATGAAATACTGAACTTGCAAAACCCCAAAAAATAAACTCATACCTCATTCGAAGTCTCTCTAACTTCAATCTCACCCTTCATGAATAAATACAAGATATTTTTTCACCAGTATAAACGTATAAATCTAGGGTTTAGGGTTTAGCAACGTGATAGTTTGAGAAAAAAGTCAAACTAGGGTTGCAGGAACATATGTGGGGTGTAGTGAGCAATTTTATTTTTAATTTTTAAATTTTTTGTCCTTAACGGTAATTGTGTACAAGGGTAAAATATGTTATTTATATTTAA